GGCGCTCGCCATCGTGCCCGACCTCCAGGCCTGGCTCCAGAGGGGGGCCCCGGTGACCCGCGTCCGGGGAGGGGAACACCAGATCCAAGGTTTATATTCATCATAAGGGGTCTTCGGGCTGCGCTTTGTCTGGTTCCTCACCTAGGACCTGTCTGCCATGGGTGACCCTACCAGGGGCATAAAGCCCCAGACAGCATAGCTCCTAGGATCATTGGGACACTCAAACCCCTCCACCACGATAAGGTAGCAGCCCAAGGAGAGGGCAAGCTAATATGTGAAAATAAATTTAATGTGTACGGATGTGGTTAAAGTGTCCCCTCTTCGAACTTACTGCACTTCCTTCTATATGGCTCACCTGTGGTGTGTCACTACAGTAAAGCTGTAGTGAGGAAATTGCAAACAGTCCATCAGGATGGACTTCGCAAGTCAAATGTTTGTCATGAGCATCGTTCCAAATTTTCACGCTTTGCTGAGAAACTGTATAGATTTATGAGCCGTTTGGACATGTCAAACAATTTAGTTATAAAAGCTTTGTCAACTGCAACATAGATCAAGCTTTTTTAAATATTGGCATTAACTGTTTATTTGCATTTTGATCAATGTGTTTGTCTTTTTTATTATTTTTTCTCACACTGTTTTATTTTATTATTTTTAAATGATATGAACATTTTTTGTCTGAGATAATAAAGTCTATAAATTGTCTTATTTTAGATCAGACCCCAGTTGAAGGGTTTGAAAGGCACCACTCCATTGGACTGATGAAAGGCCCAGCACTGAACCTGTACTTTTTCTCTGCCTATTTAGAGATTTAGAGTTTTGGTTAAAAGAGAGTTCTCCCTCACCTGAAGAAGGACTCGGGGTCGTTATGTCCCTAAACACAAAATATATCTACAATAACTATTCATGTGTCCTACCTAGCTGGGCGTACTTTCTGTGTCCATCTTGGTGATAGTCTTCTGCTCCTCTTGTATGTGGGGTCCCGCAGGGCTCAGTTTTAGGACCCCTCCTCTTCAGGCTGTACCTGCTCCCACTCGGCTCTATACTTAGGAAATTTGGTATTGCTTTTTATTGTTACGCTGATGATACCCAGACACATGTCCCACTAAAGAAAAAGGACACCAACTCTCTGAGCCCCCTGTTTTTATGTCTAGAAGAAATAAAAGCCTGGATGCCAGTGAATTTTTTAAAGTTTAGTGAGAACAAAACTGAGGTGATGATCTTTGGAAGCTCCACTGAGACACCTGATGTGGATGTTGGTTCACTGTCCCAGTGCATCAAGCCTTTGGTTACTAACCTTGACATAAACGTTGATGCTGAACTTAAGTTACAGAGCCACATCAAAACAGTTGTAAAATCAAGTATTTACCATCTGTGGCAGTTGGCTAAAGTAATGCCAATTCTCTCTCAGAAACATTTTGAAACAGTAGTCCACGCTTTTGTTACCACTCGGCTGGACTACCGTAACGCACTTTATACAGGCATCAGTGAGTCCTGTTTCTCACAGCTGCAGAGGGTACAGAATGCTTCTGCATGTCTTAACTGCCACGCCAAAATTTGATCATGTTTCTCCTGTTTTAGCCTCCCTGCACTGGCTGCCCGTATATTTTAGGATTCATTTTAAAGTTTTGTTATTTGCTTTTAAAGCTCTTATTGGTCTTGCTCCGCCGTATCTGTCCGATCTGCTACAACCCTACAGGCCCTGTGGATCCCTCAGGTCAGCTGATCAGCTGCTCCTGACTGTGCCCAAGACAAAGTGTGAGCTCAGAGTTGACCATGCTTTTTCTTTGGCAGCTCTTAAATGATGGAACGACCTTTCTTTGGACATCAGGCAGGCGTCGTCCCTGTCTGTTTTTAAATCTCTTCTTAAAACTCATCTTTTCTCTCTGGCCTTTGGACACATTTTGTAGTGTTGTTTTTATGTTTTATTTTCATTTTTTATTGATTTTACAAATGTATGCAGGTCTTATTATATGTACAGCACTTTGGTCATGTGGGTGTTCAAAGTGCTCTATAAATAAAGATGGTATGGTATGGTATGGTATGGTATTGGTATGGTATGGTATGGAATGGCATGATATGGTATGGTATGGTATGGTATGGTATGGTATGGTATGGTATGGTATGGTATGGTATGGTATGGTATGGTATGGTATGG